TGTGTGTGTGTGTGTGTGTGTGTGTGTGTGTGTGTGTGTGTGTGTGTGTGTGTGTGTGCGTGCATGCATGTGCGCGCACGCGTGTGTGTGTGCAGGGGCGTATCTACGGAAAATAGCGCCTATGGCAAGCATTGAAATTGTGCCCCTGTCCAAACATCTGACACGTACCCATCTTTTAGATAACTTTACCAAGAAATCCAGGGGCGTAGCCAGCTGAAAACGTGTGGGGGTTCTTATTGCTACAGCAGTGGAACCTTATACTATCTAAGGGGGGGGGGTCTGGGGGTTTTCCTCCAGAAATTGTTTGAAAATTTAATGGTGACCCAGGTGCGATTTCCCAGCACTCTGAAATTGTATTTTTAGATATGAACTAATGGTTTTGGGTAACTTTTTGCCACATAACTAACATCTGGACCCAATTTCACGAGAAAAATTGGTTTAAATCATTAAATCTCAATTTAGCTGTTATTGATTTGTAAAAAAATTTAAACTAATTTAGTGACTGTCACGTTGACCAGCTAGGTTTGAAACGGTTAATTTTATGGAAAGAAATAAAAACTTTATACAAGGCTAAATTAATTATTTCTCACTTTATTCTAACAATACTGCGGGAATGATACATATACGTATAATGGATAATTATCCTGTAATTAATGAGTCTTAAAACTCTCACTTCTGACACTCATGTTAGTGCGAAGTCTCGTAATCGAACCATATCGAGGATTGATTGATTGTTACATTGTGACGTGTGACGTGTCCTACCCACGCCTCCTGTGGTTTGTTCGTTACTCTGTGCGATCTGTTGACCTTTGCTTTAATTATGCAGAATGTGACTAGTGTACGTAAATGTTTGTATCCACCCACTAAAATAATATTATGACTACTACACTGTGAATGAATGTATGCTGCACAAGACTGCAAAGCAATCGATAATGAGGATCGACGGTACTTTTCAATGTTGCTAATTTTGTTAATTTCACTTACCCATCACCGGTATTTTTAACTAAAAAAAAATCATTTTTTCACTATTCGAGGATGGCTTGGCCGATTTTAATAGAAATTGCTCAGTGGCGCCCCCTTCAAGTGGCGCCCACGGCACGTGCCATATACCTGCCATAACTTAGGTAGGCCTACGCCACTGATGCTGCTGGAGTGACAGTGCAAGTGAAAGTGATATTAGATTTGTATAGTGACAACTGCTTCCAGGTTACCTCTTCCAAATATGTGTGGCGTGCGTGAATATGTAGATTACTATAGCGTATAGTTAGTGATTTTTGTAATGTTCATGAGTTCACCAGTGTAATCAAGATGATATAAGCGCTGGCCACAATTCATTTTCGCAATGTGCGACATGTGCAAACGTGCAAATGTGGACAGCTCTTATATATCCTTGAGCCGGAATTTCTCCATTCGACACGAAGAGTGCGCAAACAATAAAACAAAACGACGCTAATTCTCGCGTGCACAGCAACATTTATTCAAAAATCGCATCACCGAATAATCAGATTATTCGAGACTTGAGAAAACGATCGATTCTTACTGGTGAAAACACATGATCACAGCGATCACGATGTTGGCCTCGCGCTAAGCGACGGTGACGATACCCCGACCTCCCTCCCCTAGGAAGCCATGGCCGCCTTCACGGATCTTGCGTCACTCCGAACCTCTGACTCTGTCCAGCAGAAACCGGCAGGGAGGGACTGGTGGAGAGACTGGCAGGGAGAGACCCTGGCGGGGAGACCCTGGCGGGGAGACCCTGGCAGGGAGACCCTGGCGGGGAGACTGGCAGGGAGAGACCCTGGCAGGGAGAGACCCTGGCAGGGAGAGACTGGCAGGGAGAGACCCTGGCGGGGAGACTGGCGGGGAGACACCCTGGCAGGGAGAGACTGGCAGGGAGAGACCCTGGCAGGGAGAGACTGGCAGGGAGAGACTGGCAGGGAGAGACCCTGGCAGGGAGAGACCCTGGCGGGGAGACTGGCAGGGAGAGACCCTGGCAGGGAGAGACCCTGGCAGGGAGAGACCCTGGCAGGGAGACTGGCAGGGAGAGACCCTGGCAGGGAGAGACCCTGGCGGGGAGAGACTACTGTGGGTGCTGTCCATAGAGGCACCACCGGTACAGCTGCTTCAGTTCCGACGGGCTGGACGCTGTCCGAAGAAAACGAGAAAACGAAAATAAAGTTGCGAACGGTCACAGAGTGCGAATATCATAACTCTTCTTGAAAACGGCAAGGCGACGCGAACACGCTCTCACAAACACGACCCTTTAGCGAAGAAAGAAGAAACAGTTCTTTTCAGAAAACAGAGAAAGAAGAAACAGTTAGAAAGAGAACTGCTCTTTTCGAAACAAGCGAACGGTTGGTCGTGCTGATGGCGCCACTTACAATCCACTTGCAGCGCAGAGAGGAGATCGCACAATCCTTCCTCCTTCTCCATCACCTCTAGGAGGTTACGACTGCACAGCTGAGGCATCAGGATGTTGTGGTATAGGTAGATGTTGTTGTTGAATGTTGCATACACCAGACAGGCAGCACTATTCCACATAGTCGTCGAATACTGACCTGAATTGCAGCAACAGTTGACACCAAGACCATTCGCATTTATATATATTTTAACATATTAGTATATATTATATATATGTATATAATCTATATCTATATATAATATCAGGAGTGTATAATAGGGAGGAGTGTGACATCAATAAACAAGGGAAATTCGTCATTTACTAGCCTTATAATACCTACGATTTACTACGCGTAACTCATCCAACTTGAGCTCAAATCGGACACAGTACATTCGCCCATCATCATCCACCTGAGGGCTTATCTCGGGTTAAGATAACCAGAGTTAAGCCTTAACCCGGGTTAGCTTAACCTCGCGATGTCAGGGCTAACCCGAGTTAAGATCTGTGTTGGGTTAGCGTCGAATAGACGGTGTTAACCCAAGATAGCGCATAGTTCCTTAACCCTGCGATAGGCGGCAATAGTGAATGCGTATTTACATCCGGGCACTTGTATATGGCATCCGTTTTGGTTTTACATCTTTTCAGTATTGCAGTTTCTCAGTTTTAATCCAAGTTCTACAGCATTGTACAGTTTATAATCGATCGTTTATTTTCGTAGAATATTTTTTATCACTTTCTGTATAACATGTATAACCCGGAAACGGAACCCGGACACCACGGAAGTAACAACATCTAACGATACTTACGCGCCAGAACTGCTCAAGCATTGATTGGATGGTACTCGCATAGACGCTGTGCATTTCTTAACAAGGGTTAAGCTAACCCGAGACTGTTCTTAACCCGGGATAAGAAAATTTCGGATAGACAAGGCTTTACTTTACCCTATTTTCTGCATATATATATTACATGCAAGGCCGTACGCAGGAAATTTTCTGTAGGGGGGCAAATACGCAGGAAATTTTCTATAGGGGGGGCAAAGGTACTCCCCACGCCCTCTATTGCCCTATTTGTCCCATTAAAAGGCATACTCTGAAAATCTCTAGGGGGGGGGGCAACTGCCCGGCTGCTGCGTACGGCCCTGATTACATGAATATATCTTTGTGTGTGTATACATATATATACATACACATTTTATATAAATACATATATGTGTATGTATATATATGTACATACACAATCATATACATATTCATATAATCAGGACTCCTGATATAATCAGGGTAGAAGATGACAAATTTGTCATTATCTACCCCTGATATAATTATCCACAATATTTTGACCACCCGCTGGCCACCCACAGGCTCCATAAACAGGAGGCGGAGGCGAGGCGTAGACACAGGAAAACCTAGGAGAAGCGGGGTCGGAGCAGCGTGGGCGGGAGCTGCGGGGGGGAC